AATGGATTTATGATAAAGCCATCAAAGTGGAGGGTCCACATGGTAGAGATGCAGTAAAGGTAATAGGACAGTGTCATGTAAACATTAAATACAGTGCCTTCCACCTTCATAAATCCTCGACGCTGATGATTAAATGCTTCTGGTTATAAATTTTGCAAGCAAATTCTAGAAAGAACCACAATTGTAAATAAGACACCAGCAGAAGCCATAAATTGCCATAGAATTCCCTCACACTACAGAACACTCTTGAGTATTTATTATGAGACAGTACTCCTCAACAACTATTTATTTTAGCTTTTTTTTTCAATAATAAACTGAATTTTGATTAAAACAATAATGCCAACCTTTAGTTCTATGTCTAGCATTACAATCTATCATTTTTATGTGGCAAAATATGTTTTTGATTTACGGATTCACTTTGCAAGCGTTACTGTCTGCAAAGCTTTAGGTCTCTATAATGTCATTCTTTGTAGGGTCACCTGTTAGAAGTTCCTGCAACAGCCTGAGCTCCCACAGGTATTCCCAATCAAATTATTTTATTGCACGTGGGAACAATTAAGCACTTGGCCCTCAGCTGTAAACAATTACTATAGACAATGACATTCATGGATTTTCCTAAATAGTCATGTACTCCTAATGACCTCTGCTCACATAAGTGAGATTGATGTGTGTGTACTTTCTGTGTGTCCACAAGCAATTATATTCCCAAACATAATAGCAAGAGAGAGGCTTGACCTGGATGATACACTGCCATTGTCTGGTACCAGGTGACCACCTGCACTGATTATCTCTAACATTTTCTTTTCTTCCCACAGCCATTTTACTTCTCTTCCAATTAAGACTGAAATCAATGGGTTTTTGATCCTACTGCACCTATTGGTTTTGTGGAAGCCTAGGCAGTTTGGATGCTCACCTTACTAGACCTGGATGGAGGCGGGTGGTCCTTGGACTTCCCACAGGGCAGAAAACCCTGATTGCTCTTTGGGCTGAGGAGGGATGGGGACTTGATTGGGGGAGGGGGAGGGAAAGGGGAGGCGGCGGTGGGGAAGAGACAGAAATCTTTTTAAAAAAAAAGACTGAAATCTATTAGCGTTCACAGCAAAAGGCACCACGAGTTTTAAATGATTTGTTCTTAGGAGGCTGGAAATGTCTTGGTCTAATAAACTTGAATTCTTGTGCAGTTTAGCAGAGCGCTACAGCCTACAAGGAGAGATAACCAGATAGATAGGGTTAGATTTGCAATGTGCTTCTGTCACTTGCCAGTTGAGTGTTTGGAAACTTTGCATCATTCCACCTTAATTTAAATATTTTAAAATGCTCATAGTTAATCAAAGCTATGTTACTATGATGAGTACTAATTGGGACACATATTTCAAGATATGGCTGTGTGCTCTATACTCCCTGTGTTTCATAATCTTTTCTCAGAGAGGCCCATAAGCTCTGGGATGCTGTATTGGGAACATCCATTCAGTTGTCTCTCGTTTGGGGATACGTTTTCCTTTCACTAGATTATTCTTTTTCTTCAAGTGACAGCCATGGGAGAAGCTCACAGCTGTTTTCCTCATGTCCAGAAATAAGTCAACCAGTCCCATTTGCAGGGGGACCTAACAGCTGTATCCAGCCTTTCTAGGAGGTCAGAAGCAGAGCTGAGTGGTAATGTTTCAAGGGCAAAGCTCTAGATGTAAGGAATGATAAAACAAACCCTAAATGAGCCTGCGCATATCTAGTGACAGATATGCTATAGCCAGTCTCAATTATTCAAGCTTCCTCAGTCTTCATAATTCACCCCTACTCTCTTTATTCTACTTCCAGATAATAGCAAAGAGCAACACACACACACACACACACACACACACACTCACACCCCGCTACATCCCAGCTCTCCCCTTCTAAAGAAAAAAGCTTTAGTAATCACTTAATTTGAGAAGAATTTCTTTAGCACATGTCAGCCTTTCAGATCTATTCAAAACAAAGGTGCTAACTTTGGAGGATGAAGTTTTAAAAAAGCATCATTTTGCAATACTTATGAATGAGTTCCACTCTTCCCTTTTGTTAGCATTCTGCTGGCAATGAGCCAGTGAAACACTGTTTAATTATCCAAGGCATCAAAAATATATCACCTCTTAGGTAAGCGGTGATGGTATTCTAACAGCAATGATACCAGGGTCAAAAGTAACAAAGAAAAGTAGTCTTCAAATATGCAAATCTCAAAATAACATTTTTGTGCATTGATACTAAGTAATATCTTGTTTAGGACAATGGTCCCAAAATGTGGCTTTTGGACAAGGACCTGACACTCTTCAGAGGTTAGATAGTCTACTCGTTAACAGGCTACTCTTTGGTGGGCTGACTTGTTGGCTGCCCTGTGGGTGTGGCAAATGTTTCTTATGTGCAATTATGCAACATTTAAACAATATCTAAATGATACCATGTATTTCAGCTGAATCAGTCTAGCTGGAAATGATAGCCGCATTCTGATGCCTGGGCCACATGTAAAATTAAGGCCTTTTCAATCTGTGCTTTTCACTTGCTATGTTTTGATACACATGTTCTTGGAAAGCTTAAATTAGTTATGGTTTGACAATATTTAGCAATATAACCACCACCCTTCTCCTTTAAACCGTTAATTAGAACGGTCTTCTTATATTATATATTTAGCTTTTAATTTCAAAACGGACTATTAGTAATTACCATATTTTATTCCACAAAAGAGATAATGTCTATTTTTTAATGTTAGGTTGGAAATTTGTTGTACTTGTTTGTGCAATTAAAGTTGCATAATTTTCTCATTTGGGATAGTTCATATTGTAAAAATAAAACTCAATGTGTTCCCTGGGAGTCATTTTACTAAGTAGTTCATGGCACAGGGATCATTATTTTACAAAATAGTCATCTGAGTATCATAAACTAAAATATCTTCAGGTTGATCATTACATCACATTTTAAGAAACGCTTAAAACAGTAACAGCAAGACCTAGCTATTATCAAAATGTTAAGAAGAGGAAAGTAAGCTCAAAGTTAAAACTTGGACATTTTGCTCAGTATCTTCATGTTTTCCATATGAACAAAAGAAATTCGGGCCATGGGAATTATAAAAGAGAAAACAGTGCAGCCCAGTTTGGAGGCGGCTTCTTCCTTTAACTGAGCACCACTACGGATTTTGTTTTAGAAGTAGGTATAGCTATTACATTCGCATCAGCAGACCATAAAGACTGTTTATAGGATAGCATCTGTCACACTCAGGTGACAAGAGACTTTCAAGGAAGAGAAATTATCATTAAAGATACTATTTCAGCTACTTTCTTAGCATCAGAATGAAATATATTAGCATATATAATAAGGTATTTAATATTTCCAATACTAAACCTAACATAGATTACTTCAAATGCTTCCGTAAAGGTATTACTTAAAAAGATATTGCCAATTTTAATGAGCAACTAGGACGAAAGCAACTGAAAAGGAACAAAAGAATGTTGGATGTTTGTGAGTCCCACAAGAAGAAAACTAAGTCTCAATTTATTTAGTCTTTATTGAAAAATAAAATACTGAATTCTGGTCAGTTGTCATTTTTATGACAACCGAGTCAAAAAAAAAGTCTGAAATTGGTTTACTCACATATTTCAGCGTGCTGGCCAGTATATGTTTGGAATTCCCAAAGAACTGACACAAAGTGTTCCCTTTGAAAGGTGACTTGGAATTTACCGCAGAGATAAAGCCAAGTGGTCATTAAAGATGTTTAAATGTCATTGTCTACTGTCTTCAGTGTGCCATTACATAGCCTTGGGAATCCTTTCAAAGAACTATCAATAGAATATGAATAAGTCTCAGCACATGAAAGCAACCAGAAAAGGAAGCCAACAGCATAATTTGGCTTGCCTGGGTTGGTTCAAGAAGAGACTTGGTATCCACCCCTTCCCTTCTCATTTTTCCTCCCCCTTTTCAGGCTCTCCCCTCCCCCAACCCAAGACAGACCAGGGAAAGAAAGGCCAGAGAGACAGGAAGAAGGAGAGAAAGAGATCCAAGGATCCCCTGCCGAATGTGTGCTGGGGAGACAAACCTCGCCCTATGGGATACAGCCTTGGAAACAGACTTAGGCTTTTGCTTTGAAAATAAAAGAATGACAATGAAATTTGTGTGAGGTCTGTGTGAATCCAGTCCCAGATGTTTACAATGCTGTAGTACTATGCCTCTGCAATATGAGAGGGTTCAGAAGAAACAGTACAACAAGACTCCACAAAGCAGCGCATATGCTATTGACAATGCAGACATGAGCATCATGTTACCAAGAGAGAAGGCAGGCAAGAGACAAACAGCCGTGGTGCTGCCCGAAACGCTAACTTCACGGACTGCAAGCACTCAAACCAGAAAGAGGGACCCAAAATGGGGGTGGGGGGGAGAGTTCAAAACTAGGGGAAAAAACCTTTTGGCTTCTATCTAGAAGTGGTGGGGCAAAAGATGGGGGCCGGTAGACTGTGGAAGTGACTCTTCTTCCGTAAAGGTCATATAAAGCCCCTATAATTGACAGTGGATAATTATTTTCAGCTTTAGGAGTCTGTCCCAAAACTCTTAAGGTTGCCAGTGAAAAGAAACAAAATGTGTTTACTTGAGCCATTTCCAGGAAGGAGGGAAAGGAGACCTTTGGATGAGATGGGGGGGGGGGGGNAGGGGGGGGGGGGGGAGCGGTTGGAGACAGAATGGGGAATCTCCTAGCAGCAACAACTCTAGGGTACCGGGAGTGGCCCTGTGAGTGACAAGCTAGAGAGACCCAGAATAGGGTGGCAATAGGTGGAGGAGGCTTGTGTGGTGGAGGGAATCTTGCGGCACAATGTATACTCGGGAGGGGGTTGATTTAGTGTGAAAGTATTCCACTTCATCATTTTACAGGGGTTGGGGACATAAATATTTAGCTGGCCACATCTGGAACAGATTCTGCCCCCCCCCTCCCCGCGTGGGGTGGGGGTGGATAATTGGAAAGAGAGGAGCACGCATTTGTAACTTACTGTACGGACAGTTTTCCTTCTTGGTACCGCTGACCTTTCCGTTCTTCTCAATCTTGAGAAAGTACTTGGTGAAGGAGAACAGCTTTCTCCAGCGGACATCTCCTTGGAGGTGATTGTAGCTCCGCACATGCCTCCCCGCACTGGAAGGAGAGGACAAGGAGGAGGACGAGGAGGAGGAGGAAGAGGAGGAGGAGGAAGAGGAGTTGGTGGCCTCCGGTGACACCATGTCCTGACCAGGAGCTTGGCAGGTGACAGGGACGGAAGACACCAAGAAGAGCAACAAGAAGCAGCAACAGCAGCTCGGCAGGTGGGGAAAGGCTGAGGCACAATGTGTCAGTATCCATTTCCACATTGTACTGAAACTCTCGGCACTGAAAATTGTCTCATCAGAAGGAACATACTGGAAGGGTAAGACCTGGTGCGAGGCAAAGAGACAGCTGGAGGTGGTGGCTACTGGTTAGCTCCCTCCGGGTACGGATCTGGCCAGAAGCGAATACACCAACATCCATAACTCCTCGGAAGTGCCGGCTGCCTGTCCTCGCTCCGTTCTCAGATCCGCTGCTTGTATCTCTCCAGTCTCCGGGTGAACAGTGGACGTGGGTGGCCGCAGCAGTAGGAACTGGTGGTGTCGGTCACCAGCGCTCTCCGCTCCCCACTCAGGGGTTACTTTGTTCTCTTCTTCACTCCTTTCTTCACCATGTTAGATGCAAAAGAGGTCTGAAAAACAGATGACAGCACGGTGAACAAAACCCAAAGTGGGTGGGGTGGGGGTGCAGGAAGACATCTGCGCCCCTCTGCGGTTGGCACCTTCTGGTCCTTCCCTGCAGAGTCCCAGCCTGCTGGCCAACTTAAAAAGTGTGTCTCTTTGGAGTTGTCAGAACTGGAGGCAGCTGCCCAGGCGCTGTTGTTTTCTTCTCCTTCCTTTCTCTTTTTGGTGGTGCCTGTTGATGTGAAGTCTCCCGAAAGCCACTTCTAGTTTGGGGGGCGGCTGGCGGCTGGTGTTTTGTTTGGCTCTACCCTCCACCTCCAAGGCCCTTGGAAAGCCGCTTGTAAACAGGTTGAAGCCTGCAGTCTAAATGTCAGTGCTTTTCAGCCAGAGGTGGGCTCTAACTCTGCTGGTCAAACCTCATTTGCAGGGGTGGAGAAGGCGGGGGAGGGGGTCAAACGGCGGTGGGACATCTGAAACCCTAAGCTGCTGGGAACGCCAGGGAAAAGGGAGGGGGTGGAGAAGGGGCCGGGTGTGGGGGGGGAGCCTGGCGAGAGGAGTGCGCGATGTCTTTGCTCTGAGCTGGGGGCTGCGGGTCCGTTCCTCGCAGCCTCCGTGGGCGCAGCCGCTCCGCAGCCTGCAGCTCCAGCTAATTGCTGCTCCAGCGTCCTGTGCTAGCAGCGCTGGCCACCAGCGCGAGCTGTCCGCATGCTTTCCGAATTTTGCTGCCCTCCGGCGGGAACCACTCCCCTCCTGGGAGCCCCTTGCTCACTTGTTTTCCAGTGTAGTTTTTTTCTTTTTTTTTTCTTTTTTTTTCCTTTTTCTTTCTTTCTCTCCGCCCCCCCCCCCCCCCCATTGGCCGTGAAAATAGAATTTGGAGCCTGGCTTTTGTGCGTTTCTCTCCTCCAGGTCCCAGAAGCAGGGAAGAAGGCTGGGGAGAGAGTACAAGGGGGTGGGGGGGGGATGCTCAGTGCAAACTCTCCCCAAGATTAGCAGATTATAAACTGATAGGAGCTAGAGTCGGAAAGGGAGACCTAACGAGCTGCTTCGTTTCCTCCTTTCCTGCCAGCTTCCAAGGAGGTCTCGGGTTTTAATGAATCATTGATTTCTCGCTTCCGTTGCTGAAGTAAAAAGTTCACACTTTGGCCCTCTCTGACTTTTTAAGCTCAGGGAGATTTATTGTCACCCTTAAACATCGCCTCTCTCTTGGCGTAAATGAAATCAGGGACCCGAGTTACTGATTTCTAATTGCTAACATGAGTCCTTTACAGAATCACGCATGGACTTCAAAGTCTAAGCACTTTCCTGCAACCGCAGATGTTATCACACAATTTGACCAAATCCCCTGCTGCCTGTTTTCTTCCCTATGTAATTTCCTTTGCATCTTACCGTCTAAAGAGGAGGAAAAGTAACGTTTGAAGGGCTGTATTTTACAATGCAGCCTCACTACCTACAAATCTTCCACTCACACCCCAAGCACACGCCAACCCGTAACTCTACCACAGCTAGCACAAACCAGTTCTTAACCCAGATGCAGACAGAAGTCAGGAGCCGCCCAGGAAGCCGTTGCCCAGAATCAAAAGGCACACACACACAGAGAGAAGGAAATACTGTGCTAACCCATTCCTACCTTAGTGTGATACAGTTCTGACTCCCAGAGGATCACTTCTTCAGGATAATATCTAAGCTAGGGAACCAGTGGCTGGAGAGAACGCATGAACATAGATTACTCTGTTGTGAGAGGCAGTTAGCCATCTGTGTTCTGTCTAAGCCAAACAAATTGTCAATATCTTAGAGCTTTCCATTTAGGAAAGTGGCAATTTCACATAGCTCAAACTAAGAGGCGGCATAAGATGCAGACATTTCAAGGTGAACTGCACAGACAACCGCAACAATGATTCAGAAAAAACAATTACAAAAGGAACTTGCACACACAAGCTAGAAACCTTGTCATGAGCATTCGGTTTCAGTCTTCCTGGAGAACTGGAGAAAGAAAATTAAAATTTAAAAGTTCTAGAGATAGGCATTGTTAATGATTGCCCAAATACATTTTAGGAACTTCAAGAATGGCTTTGAATGCATATTCTTATATTTTTCTGTGTGTTCAGCGCCTTTGAAATAGAACTATTTAGTAGCAGAATCGGGATTTTAATTGCATTATTTATAACTCATTGCAATGCTTATTCAAAAGATTTCAACAATGTGACGAACATCACAGCAGATTTCTAACTTTAATATAATTAGCTGATTTCTGTAGCTATTAATTGAAAAGTTAAGCAAATAAAGAGCATGCGTCAAAGAAGTCTTGCTTCTTTAATTAAAGTATGGATATTGAAAAATGAGGCCACAGTGCTAATTTCAATTTCCTATTTCACAGTTTTATACCTGAACAGACAAATGACAGAGAGAGCAGACAATTTCTTAGGGAATTTAAGTTGCATCCTCATAGAAAGAAGAATTCAAATGTTTGAATTGACAACTAATTGAAACTACATTTAAAAATATGTTTGATGGAAACATACAATGAAGATTCTTTTGTGAAAAATTATGAAACACAGGAAGTAATTAGTTTGGGGTTTCTTTACACTGGGCACCAACACTATTGATGCCAACTTGAGTGGTTTTTCTTTTTTTAATTCACACCAGACACACATTCATTCCAACACCTCTCTCTCTCTCTCTCTCTCTCTCTCTCTCTCTCTCTCTTTCTCTCTCTCTCTCTCTCTCTCTCTCACACACACACACACACACACTCCCTTTTTGTTCCAGAGAAAATTATTCAGATCCTCTAGCTGAAAGTTTTACTTTAAGTCTATCTAAAATGAGGAAAGAGCCATTCTCGAAGCTTCCATATTAAACCTGGCTGCAGCAGGTGCGGTGTCTGAGCCGTCTGAGATCCTCTCGCCTCTCCTCTGTACTGTGTTGATGACAGGGAGGACATTTACCAAACTGCCCAATGGGGAAGCTGACGTGGCTTTTTAGATTGTATCTCCGTCTTCTTTTTCCTTTCTGTGCTGCCCTTTCTTTCCCAGCACAGTCGGATCCCTAAATCCCCCACCACTTTGTATTGTAAAGTCACCTCTCCGCATAGCCCCAGAAAGCCTGAGAAAAGTTCCACAGGAGAGATGCACTATTTAACGGAATCCAATCTCTCCCAATAGATTTGAATCACTAACATAAATGTATGAATGTAGATTATATCTCGCTAATGAGGCCTGAATCATTCTCAGTTACTTCAAAGGGCTGAAATTCTACCTTCCTTTTCTAGCTGCAATAATCAGGTCTTAATGGGTCCCTTTATTAATTGTTTCTCTGTCCAGATTGAAAGGACAGTACAAGCTTCGGATTAGAGTGGTACTCGCTATTCTAAAAGGCTGTCTGTCTCTTTCATCCAACCTTTGGAAGGCAAGCTCTGTTTCTATGGCTTAAGCATATCCAGTGATATTCGACTAAATCTTTATTGATAGAAAGGGAGGCAAACTCTTGTTACATGGGATGACTGGAAAAATTATAGACTTTAAAGAAGCAAGTTCGTGAGAAGAAAGCATTAAAGACCTCGAAACTGTGACACGGCCGGGTAAGGAGGCTCTGTGAGGGCCCTTCTTCCAGACCCTTCAGTAGCAAATCTCTTGGAGCAGTTTACATTTGAAACATGTATTTCCTGTATTCTTTATGTTGCTGCGCAGTGTCTGTGGTTCAGTTACAAGATGTGTGCTCTATTGTGTGAGATGTTATTGGCAGTGTCAGTAAGCTGCTTCAAATAATTCTAAATCAGGTCAAAAGTCAGCCAGGCTGTTTGACAATTACAACATGTGCAGGCCTCATTTTTTTTTTAAAGCCCATCATGCAGCCAATAGGAGCACGAGCCTGTTTTCTTATTTACATATAGGAAATGCTGGAAGGAAGGCTTTTATTTTTCCTGCTTGTTTTTCACCCCCCCCCCCCAAAGCTACAGCTAGAAATGATGGCCACAACAGTGATGTTAGAACAGAAGTGAAAGTTTATAACTGTTGATTTCAAGGTGGAAGGAAAAAGCATGCTTACCTTACAGAGTGCAACACTTCACCGTCAGCAGGAAGCATGGCAGGGGGCGCTGAACATCCCTCCCTGAAATGAACAAGGGTGGAAGGCCTTTGGGATTCAGATTTGCTGAATGGTTTTTCACATTTGCATATATACTGAGTGGTAACTAACAGGCTGAATGTAAGTCCAGTAGTGATGTTAGTGTTTCAAGCATGCTTCATAGAGATGTGCTAAAGGTAAGTTCATTTGCTGTCTTAGGGAACTGTGGAGATGGCTCAGTGGATAACAGCACTTGACATGTAAGCATGAGGACCAGAGTTTGGAACCCTGGCGCCTGTACACACAAGAAAAGATAGGTATTGCTCTGGTGCTTGCTGGCCAAGGGAATAAGGTAGGTAGAGCATGGTATAACGGCACAAACTCCCCTGAGCTGTGCATAGCTCACTCTATACTACGGGCACAAAACCCATTCACATATTCATACACAAGAATACACCGACCACTTTATTTATTTATTATTTTAATTGTGTGTCTGCTTTGATTGCAACCTAGATTTGGAGGTCAGATGTGGAATTTTCTTTTCGTGGTGTCATGGTGACCCTCACAAAGTTTGTATGATTGAATTTTCTGTTTGAACTTTTGGTTTTTGAGGACTCTTGCATTATAAAATGATTGGAGTCGCTCAGCAATAGGATAGGAGCGCCAGTGACAGACCTCACCCGAGACCCTAGGTTTCGCCACACCTTCTACCTGTCTTCTTTCCCTTCCTCCTTTCTCTGATTTTCTCCTTACTAACCCTACTTACCCTAATATGTCCGAGTTGCCAGAATGGAAGAGATAAGAAAGCTTAGAAGGCTTTAGTTATGGAAAACCAGCATATCTTTGATGCCATTGATTAGCCAGAGAAAAGCAATAAAATAGCCCAGTGTTGAATTATTAACTATCAGTTTCTTAGACAAAACAAAATAAGTGTTTTTGTGGTTTGGGTAAAGCAGACTCTTAAATGCAATGAACACATTTAAATGTGACTTACGCTACACATTTTTAGGATATTCACGAGGTATTTGGAATTTAATAAGCATTTTTTAAGTTGCTTCCCCCAAGCAACTGATATCATTTAGAAAAGTAATCTATTAAGTTCTTTATGCCATCCTCTTAAATTTTCCTGAAACCGTATGCTATTTTAGGGCATAGACATTTATAAAACCTTTTTTTCCTAATGTTTGAAAGTTAGATGAATTTTCTGTTGACTTATTTTTGTAGATCCAATGATCTCCTACTGAAAATGTGTAAGGCTAAGATAGAAATCTGAAGGATCTTTCAAAAGAGAAGTATCTATATTGGCATGTTCGAAATATTCTCACAATAAGTCAGCACAATTCCAGAAAGCTGAACTCTGCAA